CTTAAAAACTCACCTGAATTAAATTGAAATTTTCTGCGTAGGTTTCGACTTCCTGCTCGCGTTCTTCTCTCAAGCTCCTCTCCTTTTTCTCTCTCTCTCTCCTTTTCTTCCCGTCTTCCTTTCTCTCTTTTCCTTCTTTCCCTCATCCTTTCTTTCTCCTTTTTGTTTCTTTCTTCTTCTCCTTTACAAAAAAGGAAAGTTAAAGGTGGAACCCTCATGATGAGGGTGGACAAGTGGGAGCAAAAGCTCCCACATAAATCTCTCTTTTTTTATATTACATTTTATTTTTTTATGTAATTATTTTTTTATTTCTTTTTATTATTTATTTATTTTTTTCAAGTGATTGCAAGAATTACCCTTCATATAGACAAAAATTTATAATCTTTTAAACTAAATTTACGTTACTAATTATCCCACTAATTATACTTATGCAAAATAAAATATAGAATACGTGATGAGAGTTTTGCGTTGGGATGTTACACTTGAGCTATTGCAGTTTCTTGGTTGTGGGTGAGTCTAGTCAATCTCGCCTTGGTCTCAGTTATCCTCTTCAATTGTGTGGGTGGGACATCAAAGGACAAAGCCTCAGCTACTGCACTACTTACGCCACAGTGTGGGGTACTGTAGGGTGTGGCAGAGCCTACGACAGTTGAACCCCAGGTCTAATAGACCTTTTGGCAGCCTTAGATAGCAATCCCAACTTTACTTCAATAAGGAATGTTGGGGTTTGTGTGTTTGCAGGGGAGAAGGAGTAGAGAGGAAAGAGAGAAGAGATAGGGGCCGGCAAGTAGAAGGGGGCAAGGGGAGGGACGGTTGTGGCTAGCCAGTGGATTTGGTGGAATTAGGGAATTGGAGTAATTAAGAAATAAAGGGTTAGAGCAAGAGAAAAGTGAAATTGGGTCTATGCGAGAGAATGAGTTTCGGTCGGGTCATAGAGGATGAGGAGAGAGCTAGGCTTAGAACAGTTTCCATGTTGATGTCCATATTTGTTTTCTCATCCATGTTAATCTCCACGTCTACTCCTGTTGTCATTTAAGGTCCCATTCGATATCCTGATAAATCAATATAAGATAATTTTATCTTGTCTTACCAGGTATTATACCATATTCGGTTTCCTTGATAAGTAATGTGGATAAACAATTCAGGTTGTCCCTTTATTTTATAAATTTTTTTCTTTTTCAGATACTTTTGCCCTTGCTTCGTTCTTCCTTTTCTTCCTTCTCCTTTTGCCAAAGTCCCTTCAGCCCTTGATGCTAGATATTGTTGTTGTCACCCTCCTCACTTCGTTATTGCCATTGCCATTCATTGCTCCTATTGCCTCCTTCATTCATTGTTGCCATCGCCACTATTGTCTACAATTTTGGAGTGATAGGAAGAATGATCTTCTTCCCTCACTTTCCCCCTTCCTCTTCCCTCTTCTAATAGCCATCCTCATAGCTACAATTCTGACATGATAGGCGGTGGTGATTCTCTTCCTTCACTTTCCCCCTTCCCCTTCCTTCTTCTAATCTATGATTTTGGAACAGTATGTGAGCAACGATTTGCACTAGAGTGATTTTCATTTCTTGATTGACAATCTGGATCTAAATCAATAGACAATGATCTAGATCTAGATTAACGGTCGCCTATCAGTTATGACTATCACCTATTTGTTACCGTTATAAAGGTCATTGGTTGCGATTGTCACCTAGTTGCTGCCATCACAAATGTCACTAGTTGCAACAATTGCCTGATGCTCTAGTTGCTTTAGTCGCGACAGTTGCTGGAATCTTGTTTCTGCCTGTCAGTAGTTTTTAAGGATTATTGTAGTAATTTTTCATTTTATCCAAAATTAGACTTAAAAACTACCAAACCATGGAAAAAGATAAAAGTATTGTTCAATCAAAATAATTTGATAAGCATTTGTCTATCCTGTTATATCCTATCCTATATAACAAATGGGCCTAAGTTATAGAGTTAACTGCAGGGCTAATGTGATAGACGGATGAACTAATTTTGGACATTTTGGTAACTAAGACCATTGAGGGACCATTTTGGTGGTTGAGTGATCTTTAGGAAACATTCTTTACTTTTTAATTAAAATTTAGAAAAAACCTTGGGAAATATTCTTGTCTTCTAAGAGTAGTCTAACTGCTAGATTAACTATTTGCCCCTATATCTTTTTAAATTTTTCTCTGGCCTTGAAAAATCTATATTTTTGTAATAATTTTGTTGAAATGACGAGCGTGTCCTCATTTTTTTGCATAATTCCAATGTGTCTTGCCACGATAAAATTCAAAAATTAAATTAATTAAAAATATTTTAGTCACAAAAACTATAATTAATTCCAAAAACCTAGTTTATTAAAGATAAACAATTTACAAATAAATTCAATAAGAACTCGGCTAATTGGTATAATTTTTTCTCTATTCTATTTTATTTTATTTCAAAATCTTGGACACTACAATTGTGAGTTGTTATGGAGTTAAGCCTATTAGCAGGTAGAAGGCAAGAGTAGTGTGTAAATTTTTATTTTATTTCTATTTATCTATAATATATTGAAGAATATAATATTTCAAGTATAAATTAAAAAAGAAAAAGAAAGGCTAAGCAAAGCAGGGGCACCCACCTAGTGTAAATAAAATATTTTAAATTAATTAATAATAAAGAAACTTATTGATAAAGTAGCATGGCTCAATCATGTCTTAATGATTGAATAAAAATCCAGACAACAAAAATTTATCAAAGAACCAAATTAGGGAGGAGGACGAAGATATAATAATCAAGATTGGAGATAGCAAAGATTAAGGTGAAAGGTAAAATGATACATTAATTAAAATAAGAGAATTATATAAATTTTGATTTTTCTAAATTACAAGAGAATACAGAAACAACTTAATTGATACAAAATTAAATTCAAATATTTTATTAGTTATTTATTACTTTATGTTTTTAGCATTTAAAAAATATTAATGAGATTAAGTTCTTATATTTATAAGATTAAATATTTATAATATTTGAAAATATTTAATGAACTAAAAATATTCATAAAATTAAATTAATTATAATTTAAAGTTAAAAGTTTTTCAATTAAACCAAGACCGTATCAGAACTGGAACCAAAATTGGACGAGAGCTGCAACTAACTTGAAATTGTGAAGACCTGAAACCAAAAACTAGCTTGAAATTGTGAAATCTCATAATTGGAATCAGATCAACCTTCATAATTCTAGTCCTAATACATAATTTTTAGGGACTAGAATTAGAGGTTCAATTTCAGTCTATGTTATGGACAGCGAACAAGGCTACAATGAGACGTCCTCCAACCATTTGTAACAGTAAGCCAGGTAAAGTCAGTAAATTATTTGTCAAGTCAAAAATGAGTTTCTAATAAGCTCACGCAAACACCTATTATGAGCCCTCTAGTAGGAAATAGTGGATGTTCGGATCTAGCATCTTTAAGAAAACAAAAGATAAGGGGGCATTTGGTTTACATAAATATTTTCTATTTTCATTTCAAGTTTTCATTTTTTGAAAAAAAAAAATTCATTTTTAAATTTTTAAATTTTAGAAAACATGTTTAGTTTGATTTGTTATTTTTTATTTCCAGAAAATAAAAATAATGAAAATAGATTTGGCTCATTGATTCTTCAATAAACTGAAAACTTTGATAATAATTTTATAGAATATTAATATATTTAATAACATTTTTGTTAATAAAAAACTATAAATAATAAACTCTTACGTATATAAAAACATAAATTAAATTAAATTTAGTTGGATTTAATGGTTTCATGCTTGGAAGCCAAAAGGTAAAAATTGTTAAATTTGTATGTTAAATTTATGATCCATGAGTTAAGAAAAAATGTTTCAAAAGATCACAAGACTACGTACATTGAGCCCTCCCTGATATCTTAGATTATTTTGATCCAATATAAAAAAAAAAAAAAAATTCATTTGCAAATTGAAATATTCCCACGTCAAGTATTTTCTCAATGCCTTAGATTATTTTGATCCAATATAAAAAAAAAAAAATCAATGCAAATTGAAATATTTCCACGTCAAGTATTTTCTCAATGAAATAGGCCTTACATTGAGCATCCTCTTCGATAAGCACCTGACTTGTGCACTTGAGCAGGATTGTGGAAGTAAGCCTCCTTCATAAATTCTGCTTCAACTATCTTACAAGGGGATGTATTGCCAGTGCCACGGTCCGGAACTGCTAAAGCAAAGGAGAAATCTAGGCTGCTGTGATGCAAAGGAACACCTTCAAAACCTTCGGTTAGGTTGTGATCTAAATTGGCTAAAACATGATTCTCGCTGAACCCATATCCGTTGCTCAAACTCCAAAATTCCTCCATAACTAAGCTTGCCAGATAGCTTTGTCATGGATAAATTTCTTCATAATTGAAAACTACCATGACTGAAGAGCTGAAGACAACCTAGTTCGCTAGACTTTATCGGATATTCAAAATTATATGTTCTCTTCCACTCCACTGTATCCGTTCAAATGAAAAAGAAAAAAAAAAAAAGAAAGCAGCAAGACGCAAGAAAAAGAGAAGTTAACTAATTCCAGAGAACGAAATTACCATAAATCAACCTAAAGAAGGCTTGTCAATCCTCTTGGGGTTTGGGAATGGTAAAGCAGAGCAGCAATGAGAAAATATCAGTATAAGCATTACTGGATGAGAACACTTCAACATAACGAATCTGAATGCCTGGGAAAGGAAAGAAATTAACCAGAAGAACTAATATAAAAAATGTTTTTATTTCTCTTCCCTAATCTACGATGGAGCTCAGTACTTATCTCACAGAGACCCAACGCAAACAGATCGAGTTCGAGTGCATCTCCAATATGATGAATGGAGAACCAAATATGTACAAAAGTTCTCTCCTCCATAAACATGCATAAGAAATAGTCCAAACGCCATTAAATATACTTCAGCCAACTCATATTCATATGCTGTTATAAGACTTCTAGTGTTAAGTACTGTAAAAGAATTATAACACCTTGAACAGGTCCTAGGATGGTTTCCAGCAAGAAAAAGCATTGAGGATCCGCCCCTTCCGACCCTGTACCATCCATTGGTCGGCCTCATCCACAAAAAAATCCTTGTGAAAGTTAGCCTTCACCTTAGTTTTTATTTTCTTTACGATATTCTGGTTTAGTGGAAGCTGCCTGAACCCAGCCCTAAGAGTTCGTGCTTGCCAACTCTTGTATATTTCTGTCCTTTCAATCGTCTCTAATCCTTCACATGCCATGGTATTCAAAATTTGTTTCCCCCATATCTCACTCTCACACATCATCCTCCATGGACTTTCTTTTGGCATAGCAGCCTCAAACATGAATTCAATAAGAACGACAATATGAATACAAATAAGAAACATGTATTGTTGTTCCCACCTGTAGTTCTCTGAGTATCGCCAAAGATTTCCTCATGTTCACGAGGTACTTTTCATCATAACTGCATTTTCTTCAAGGAAATGAACGACATTCTCCAACCACCAAATGATTAGATCAAAATTGCAGCTAAAAAGCCTCAAAGACTCCTCAAGCTGCTTCACCAAAGCAAGGTAATGGAGGAGATTGGAACATTGACTGCATTTTAAAAGGTTAGCCCTACTATTTTAAAAACATTTCATGCAGGGCGCTAGAAAAAATGTGAAACTTATAGAATATGCATTACAAACATGCATGAGCAATAGTCCAAACGACCTTAAATATACTTAAGCTAACTCATATACCTATGTTGTGATAAGACTTTTAGTGTTAAGTAGTGCAAAAGAATTACAACACCTTGAATAGGTCCTAGGATGGATTCCAACAAGAAAGAGCATGGAGGACTCGCCCTTTCCAACCCTGTAACATCCATTGGTCGGCCTCATCCAAAAAAAAGTCCCTGTGAAAGTTAGCCTTCACCTTAGCTTTTATTTTTTTATGATATCCTGGTTTAGTGGAAGCTGCTTGAACCCAGCCCTAACAGTTCGTGCTTGCCAACTCTTGTATGTTTCTGTCCTTTCAATCCTCTCCAATCCTTCACATGCTATGGTATTCAAAACTTGTTTCCCACATATCTCAGTCTCACACATCATCCTCCATGGACTTTCTCTTGGCATGGTAGTCTCAAACATGTCAAAGACTACAGAGAAGTAGAATAAAACCTCATGAAACCTTGAGACAAAAAATGGTGAGTTATGTGGGCCATTTAAATAGCATGGAGAAAAACATCAGGATTGATTCTCTTGATCAATTTCAAAACAGCATCCCTTGGACTATTCTCCAAAAAAGAGTCATCCATAACGTAGTGAAACAAGTATGAGCACATAACAACTAGCACTTCATCTTTGTGAATTTTTAGATCCTCAGGGTCAACAGCTTCCCATTTTTGTGTCATACCATGGTATTCAAAGGGAACGTTAAACTTCTTACAGCAGTTTACCCAGCAATGCCTTGCTCGTTCAACAATGGCAGTTGGCTCGAAACCTTGCTCAGGAAAGTCTATTGAAGTGATGCGAAGCTTCGGAGGGCCACAGGGTCTTTGAGAGAGTTGTTGAATGAGGGGCATAAAATGAATGGCTCGTCTACCACCGAATTGGATGATGTGAAGGCTAGTTGCTTGCTTTGCAAATTCCAAAATTGTTTGGATTGCATAGTAATGTGATGCATTCATGAAGGAATTGTTGAAGTACACAATTTGTAAACTTCCGAAGCATCAGAAGTTGACCTCTCCCTTAGTTGTAAGACTTCTATATATTAGGTTCCCTGTTCCTGTTAAGCGAGCTTCAAGCCCTTTAGCCAAGCAATGTGCCAACCTTTGGAATGCATTGCCTGAAGGAGAAGACAACTGCTTTATCCGGTTTAGTAGTTTATTTGCTGTATTATGATCATTACTGGCCACAGATTCCATGCACAGCATCAGAAGATTCTTCATACCAAAATGATCCCTTATGTTGATATGTTTCTTTGGTAGCTAGCTCCCTTGCTACGTCCTCCTACCTTTCCATCCTTTGGCAAGATACCATCATTGGAATTTGATGTAACCACGTCCTTGTCAGAATTAAACTGTAACATTTTATCAAGCATCTCAGATAATATAAAGTCTTCAGTAGAGATGCCCAATTGATTGCTACCCCTCCCTGCCTCCAAATCATTCTCACCTTGAACACTTGTGCCACACTCCAACCTATTTGTCAATTCATCCTGGTCCTTTTCTGCCTTGTCTTTTCCCTTTGAAATCCTTATATTTTCCCTCATGCCCCAATTGAATTGCAAACTAAATTGACTATCCACTGGTACATTAGTGGGAGGCTTCATCAACATTGACCCATCAACCGAATCAGAGGAGCTGCTTGGAGTGCAGTCCAGTGATGGTTTGGACATAAAGGTCTTGTGAACTAGAGGATTTAGGACATGGGAGGAATTGCAGAAATTCTTAGTAAAACCAGCTTGGGCAAAGTTGCTTGCATTCACATGGCCGTTAAAACAACAGCCACGACTATTAGAAATGGTAGCATCCAAACTGATTGAATCCTGATGATGAATTGGTTCACTGGACGATGGACAATGTATGCCATTAAGAGTATCATATAGGGCCTTCTCAGCAGCACGGAGAGTGGAATCTTCAATAAAATAGGCCTCAGCTTCAGCATCATCTTCCATAAGCACCTGGTTTATGTACTCGAGCGTAGGATTATGGAAGTAAGCCTCCTCCATAAATTCTGCTTCAACTTTCTCAGAAGGGGATGTTTTGCCAATTCCATGGTCTGGAACCCCTAAACCAAAGGAGAAATCCGGGCTATTATGTTGCAAAGGAATACCCTCAAAACCTTCATCCAAGTTGTGATATAAATTGACTGGAATATGATTCTCACTGAACCCATATTCGTTACTCAAATTCTGAACTTCTTCCATAATTAAGTTCGTCGGACAGCTTTGTCACGGATAAATTTCTTCATAATCCAAAGCTACCTGTGACCGAAGAGCTGAAATAACAACCTAGTTAGCTAGACTCAATGCTTCGCCAGATAATCAAAATTACATATACTCCTCCATTTTCCTTTTTCATTCAAATAGAAAAGGGAAAGCAACAAGAAGCAAGAAAAAAAGAAATTTAACTAATTCCAGAGAACGAAATAACCATAACAATCCTCTCGTGGGTTTAGGAATGGTAAGGCAGAGCAGCAACGAGAAAATAGCAGTATGCGCATTACTGGGCGAGAATATTTTAATAGAATGAATTTGAATGTCTGGAATATAAAAGAAATTAACAAGAAGAACTGGAATAGAAAATCTCTTTATTTCTCATTTCTAATCTGCGGCCGACTTCAGTTCTTACCTCACAGAGACCGAACGCAAACAGAAGGAATGCATCTCCAATCTGATGAATGGAGAACAAAATATAACACAGTTCAGCGGCAACCACATCTGTAACTCCCTCTCCTAAGCAAAAGTCAAAAAAACTTTTGTTTGGGCAGAGCTGAGATTGGGTAGTGGGTCTTCGCCTTTGATTCCTCTCAGTCGCTGCCAGTTGTGAGGTAGACTTTGAATTATGCAGGCTGGTCGGTAGGCCACTGAGGATGCATCTCCAATATGATGAATGGAGAACAAAATATAACAGAGTTCAGCGGCAACCACATCTGTAACTCCCTCTCCTAAGCAGAAGTCAAAAAACTTCCTTGTTTGGGCAGAGCTGAGATTGGGTCTTCGCCTTTGATTCCCCTCGGTCGCTGCCAGTTGTGAGGTGGACTTTAAATTATGCAGGCTGGTCGTCAGGCCACTGAGGATGTCCCACGTATAACTCTGTATTTGGACAGGAAAGAGCAATCAAACAGAATTTAACATATCACATTAAAATATATAATATATATATATATATACATATATATTATTTAGCACGATCCAGATCTTTCACAAAATCACACAATGGTTTAGTTAGTTTGGTTTGGATATTAAAAAGACGATAATTGAGGAAAGTGGGGGGGACTTCTTTTCTAAATCTCTTCAGAAGGGCAATAAAGCAGGAGATGGCGGAGAGAGCTATTATTTATTTACAATATTTACTTTTCTTTTATAATTTTTAATTCATCTTTAATTTTGTATGAATTCACTTTAGGAGTAGATTTTAAAAAAATGAATTCAGAAAAGTGAATACGAAAAAATGAATTTAAATAAAATAGATTTAGAAAAAATATTGAGTTGTATTTTGAAAATCGCTAATAAATCATAAATATCTAATTTATTTAAAAATATTTTTATTATTAAATATTATATATATGTATATTAATTATACCTATATAAAGGTTGTTTTTGCTGATTTTTACTGTTCCCAAAATGGTTTGTGCTCTGTAGTAATTTCATGGATTCATGAAAGAGACGGGCAGCCATAAGGATCACTTTACAAGTTCTGAAAGCAAACAGAAGTTAGACTATATATTAGACTTCCTACCAGTACCTGTAAGTGCGCTTCAGGGACGTCATGGGTCAAAGACCATATTTCAAGGGGATGACTACGGTACCTACCCCGAAAGGGGTTGTTTTCAAACCTTATTCACGTGGACCAATCATTGTTGACTACATGGGGCAATCGTTTGTAACTCCAAGGAACTCGTTCGCACGGTAGCTTGTCTCCTTCCTCATCAATCGTCTGGCTTATTTGCGTGGACTCTGTCAAACGGTGTGGTGTGTTGTTCGCTGTAACAAGCTTTCAGAATTTAACATTTGTGAAGATAGCAAAACTTCTATCTTCTTTCTAATCAACAGCCCACCCGCGCTGAGGATGGAAGGATCATCCAGGCAGGCTCATGCTTCAAAAACAAAGCATACAGAAGCTCATTCCACGAGTCGGGGACTCCCAAGAGGCACCAATGGCTACAATCCTATTTGTTGAGAGGCTTCGGTCCTCGCTCAGGAGGCTGGTTATAGAGAGATGAATGCCCATCTTTCCTTCATGACGTCATTATTGTTGTGTTTAGTATATCAAATTTCTGTACAGTTGATTGTTTCGAGTAATTGGATTTGGACAGTGCTTCGAGGAAAATGCTATACGGAGGCCATGTTTGGGGAGGTGATGCCGAGGTCCCAAGATCTGGCAGTGTCTCCAAGTGGCAGCTTCCCCCAAAGTTCCAGCCACCATTATTGTAACGATGAATGCAAATTACCCGGTTACGTTCCTCAAAATGGAACATGTATTCAAGTGTTTTTGAGAACAGAAACACTGAAAATCTATCAAGGGAAAAAGTTTCAAGAAAATTCCGGAAATAAGTTTTTATTATTTTCTAAAAGATAGGCATGTTTATCTGAAGATTTTCCTGAGAACAGATTCTGAAACAACCTGAAAAATGGTTTTTCTTCACAAATGTTAAAATTATGAAAACAAATTTAAAATTTTTATCGTTGTTTGCTGTCCAGTGAGGCAGGCGATGCTGGCCGAAGAACAGGGGCGAACAGAGGGCGTGCAGGGCCGCTTGCTGCTGCACCTGTTTGCCATCAGCTTGGGTAGTCGGAGTCGCCCAAGAATCTGCAACTCAAGAGCGCAGAGACAGGTCAAAGCGGTAAGCCGCAACCTGCACCCAAGAGCAAGCCGATGCTCTGTTGGTGGCTGAACGGACAACCCGAGAGCAGGGTGGTTCCCATGCGGCAGGAACCAAGCATTCTGGTTCTGTAGCAGCTCCAGGAGAGCTGAAGACTGGTTCCGACCAGTTGCTAGGGGCGAAGATGCCGGGTTTGTGCGGATTAATGGAGCCCGGCCAGGGGCGCAGGATTCCCGGTAAGTTGCAGAACTTTCGAAGAAACTGGTCGGACTGCACACGCAGATAAGCCGACGCAGAGCAACCCACTGTAGTTCTGCAATCCACGAGGATCGATAAGCCGAGGACCGATGACAGAGGATAAGCCGAGGATCGAGAAACTGGTTGGACTGCACACGCAGTTGCAGAACTACAGTGGGTTGCTTTGTTGGCCGAAGAACAGAGGCCGAAGAACAAGGACGATCGCGTGCGGATGGGTTAATTAGAATTAACAACAATTGATTCACGTGGCCAATAATGATTGGCCCACGTGGAGATTGTTCTAAACCCCACATTTTAGGGGAGGCACGAGAGTGTTCGCCTATTTCAAGATCCCATCTTGGTTCTAACTCAAATTTTTTAGACTTGAAAATGATCAAAACTCACCACATGCATTTCTGGAGATTTAAACCTCAAACTACAATTTATTTATGATGAAGTACGGCTGCTAAACAATTGATTTTCTCCTTGACAAGGTGGGCTCAGTGCAAGGTACTTCACCTCTAGGGACACCCTTTAAATGTGCAGTTGGATAAATTTTTTTTAGAAGTGCTTATCAGAAGTGATTCTTTTAGAAATGATTTTGTAAAAGTAGAAGTTATTTTACTTCTCTATAGTGTTTGGAAAAAAAATATTAGAAAGTGATTTTATACTACTCATATCCACTACGATTCAACTTCTCTCACAATGGTCTCTGACAATGAAGAGGTGAAGAGACTTCGATGACAAAACACCTAGGGCTCCAACAGCAAAGAAGTTGGGGCTCTAATGATTGTGGGGCATCTAAATTTGCTAAGACGATGAAGAGGCAAAGACGACAATGGTCTCTAATGATGATTGCCAATGCGATCTAGTTGGCCTTCAGATGGAAAAGGGCAACGGGAAGATATAGAAGATGTAAGAGATAGTCCCAACAATAATGCTATAGTCGACAACAAACTTGATAGTAGTCTCTTTTAGTTGGTGGAGAAAGAGGCTCAGCATTTTTTTTTTTCTCATCTAATAGATGCCTTAACTCCAAAACTAGTTCTAACAATTTCTTAGAGAAAGTATTCTTTTATTTATTTATTTTTTTTTTGGCTACTTCTACCCTTTTTTCTAATAATCCTACACACGCAGCCTAAAATAGACTAAAAGTATTTTATATTTAAAAAAGGCACTTTTTGTAAAAAAGCCTATGCAAACAAGCTCGTCAAAAGTGATTGCACGTTTGGTAGAGACGCCACCCCTTATTACGTCCCTTGTTAAAGAACCTGATGACTTGGACATTGATATTATCCCTAATTGACATCACATAGCCTCTCATGGCATCATAATCAGTTGAGGAAGTAAGGCAGCAACAATCCTATAGGATTCCATGGTCATAATTGCAAAATCTCATAATCAACGTAACTAGGAAATCCATTGTAACAAGATCCCATACTTAATATAATTGAAAATCCTATTATAAAATTACATAACACAATAAACAAGAGTCTCTCATACTTAAGCATGGTGTATGTGATAAAGTGAAATCACAAGTGCTTATATAACCTTTTTTTCCATTTTACTTTCTACACACAAGCTCAAATATTGTGAATCCACTAAAACCACAACGTGACGCATTAGAAGTTTTCATTATTGAGAAATTTGTAAGTTGAAAGGTGGAATTGAGTTCTCATATATTATTTTTCTACTCTATCTCCTAAACTCAAGGTCAAACATTACAAACCCATTTAGTGCTTTGGATATTCAAATATTATAATAAAATTCAAGTAGAGTATTTTCTAGAATATATGAATATGAAAATATTGTAATTTTTATGTAAACATGATATGGTTAAAACAGTGTCCATGTTAGTGTCCACGTTTGTATTCTCATCCATGTTGACCTCCACATCTACTCTTGTTATCAATTAAGGTCCCATTTGGTACTCTTGATAAACCAGAATAAGATAATCTTATTCTACTGTATTAGGTATTATACCATGTTCGGTTCTCTTGATAGGCAACCCAGATAAAAAACCCAGGCAGCCACTTTATCTGTCCTTATTCTAATGCATCAGGATAACTTTATCTAATAGGTAAGGTATGATAAAGTTATTAGGCCTAAGTAGGATAAATTTTTTTCTTTTTTGAACATTTTTGC